CTCATAGACAAGGCCACACACCACTGAAGCTGGAGGGTGAGGCCAGGCAGCCTGGGATACCTAGCAATATCTTGTCCAAATAGACAAAATAAAACAAAAACCCTGAAGGAAAAAAGGGTGGGAAGGGTGCACATGCTCAGAGTACCAAAGCCTCTTTCTGCTTTCCAGTCTTTTGTGTGCTTGGCCAGCAGTGTGGACACAGGACTCACTTCTGTCCGTTACATAGATCAAACCTGAAACAAAACTGCTCACCAAGACCAAGTTCTTACATGTAACTGCAGTTTTGCTGTGTAGTTCACACCTGACCTTTTCACCTGGACATTTAAAAACTCTGGGCCAGCTGTGACGGCACACCTTTAGTCCCAGTACTCTGGAGGCAGAGGCAGGCGGATCTCTGTGAGTTCAAGGCCAGCCTGGGCTACATAGCAAGATCCAGGCCAGCCGGGGCTACTCAGTCTGTCTCAAAATGACACACAAAGGGGAAAACTGTTGAGTTGAACAGCCAGGTCGCTGAAACAGAAGGACTCCGAGTTCAGGGCCACAGCTTGGAATAGAATGAGACCTGTCTTTTAAAAACCTGTGAGTTGATCACATGGGCCTTCCTGAGACTCAGTTTCCCTCATCTATAAAATGGGAACTACCTTGTAAGGCAATTACGGGATTAAGTATAATCCATGTAAAGATCTAGCACATGCCTCACACAAAGTAACCAGTGAATGTCATTTGCCAGAAGTACTGAGCAAACAGCCTGCATTTTAAAATGAATATTACTATTCCTAGGCGTGTATGCAGTTACTAAGCCTGGATAATCAGTCTATGTGACACAGTGGCTTCTCCCTGACAAAGGAGACTGGGCAGGGCGCAGAATCCCAGGCCCCTGCAGGCTGTGGGTGCCCCTCAGTCATAGCGACACACAGAGGGAAGGAGGTTGAAGTGACCGAGACTAGCCGGACCTTGAAGGATGAGTGCGGTTCTGACAGGCAAGGATAGCCGGAGAGGCCTTCCAGCAGAGGACGCAGCCTGGAAGAAGCACCCACATGCTAGCCTGCCAACTCCAGAGCAACAGCCGATGACAATAACAGCGTGGTCTAGGCTCATGGTCTGGTTGGTTAGAAGGACACGCAGTGAGGGCCGGGATCACAGCCGCCGGTAGAATGTGCCTTAACGTGGCGCTGTCTCCAGGCTCAGAGACAGAGTGTGGGGGCAGACTGCGGCCCTTCAGCATTGCGTCTTCACTGTGGGTCTGTCTACACTCCCCGAGGAGAAATTAACGCGACTCGTTTCCTCTTTTGTAGCCCGTTCTCAAAAGACTTCTGGTATTGGGCGTCTGATGGTACATGTCATTGAAGCCACAGAATTAAAAGCCTGCAGACCAAATGGTAAGTGCTGCTCCTATTCCACAGATGTGGGAACACCCTGCTTCTTGCTGGTACCTCTTTTGAATACGGAATGATGGGTAATTTTTTAAAGGCAATGTTTCTGGTGTTTCTAGAACCCTGATAAACTATTTGTTGGTTCAGTATTACTCACTGTTTCCGGTAAGAACCAGCAGCCCATCTTGATAGTCAGTGCATGAAAATACACAGCACGCCACAGGGCACCTTCCCGGCTGTTGGGGAGCAGTCCTGTGTTGGAATGTGCACTTTGCTCCCCAGGGTTATGGCGTCATTGGGAACGTGGGGCCATACTGCTCCTAGACTCGCAGGTGAACGTGTCCCACCAGGCAGTGGCGCTTCCTGGTCTCTGGTGAAGCAGCCCGCGGACCCCGCCCTGGTCTCCCTCTGCACTTACCGCACTGCATGTGTCCCTGGCTTGTCTCTGCAGGGAAGAGTAACCCGTACTGTGAGATCAGCATGGGCTCCCAAAGCTATACCACCAGGACCCTCCAAGACACCCTGAACCCCAAGTGGAATTTCAATTGCCAGTTCTTCATCAAGGATCTGTACCAGGACGTGCTCTGTCTCACCATGTTCGACAGAGACCAGTTTTCTCCAGATGGTAAGTGTAACCTGGCACAGAGGCCTAACGGCATCCCCAGGGTTCTGGGATCTGGAGTCTGTACCCAGGGTCTGAAGCTGTGCTTGTACCCCGTGACCACCACAGGAAATGACACCGGCCATGGCAGCTTTGGCAGGGGGTGGGTGTTTGGGGAGGGCATGGCCTCTGAACACAGACACTTGTGCATGCACAAGGGAAGCATTAGTGAGCACTGGGTGGTGGACATTGTCTCGTCAGTAGACTCCCCCAGCTGTCACATGCATTTGTCCACATCAGTACCAAAGGTCCGTGAGCAATGAGCCACTCACGCAGGGTCTGAAAGTCTTCTAAATCCTGTTTCGGATTCTCCTGCTTGGCGAGTTTTTAACTCTTAGAAGGAACAAAGATAGCATTTGATCCTCACATGGTGTTTACTCCCCAGACTTCCTGGGTCGCACTGAAGTCCCCGTGGCAAAGATTCGGACAGAACAGGAAAGCAAAGGCCCTACGACTCGCCGGCTGCTGCTGCACGAAGTCCCCACCGGGGAAGTCTGGGTCCGCTTCGACCTGCAACTCTTTGAACAAAAAACTCTCCTCTGAGGGCCCCCCCACCAGAGGAGCTGCCCGCGAGGCGGGGTCTAAAGAATGCAAGATGACGTTCTCCTGGGGCCGAGGAGCATGGCATGGCTGCGTCCATCACAAAGCCCCACGCGGGGCCTGTATGTTACCGCACACTAAACTGCTAGCAATCTATGCAAACATGATCCTTCCTATAAACAAACGCCACAGCACAGTGCCTTGTACTAGTGTGAAGAACATGCTCAGCTGTGTTAGATGCCAGGGTTTCCATTTTCAGGGCTATAAAAGTATTATGTGGAAATGAGGCATCAGAGCACCAGATGTTACCACTGGGCGAACGTGTCCACTGTGGAGTCGGTGATGTGGAGCGGGTCCCCCCACATGACCTCTGCTGGGTCACAGCACTCAGGAGGTGAAGGGCTGAGGTGAAATGCTGCAGCCAGGGGCTTGTGCAGCCTGATACTGAAACAGCATCATCCACTTGTGCACTGAGTAACCAGAAACTTGATCGTTTTATTCTGATGATATTTTATCCTTCTCTGCTCAGACAATAGAGTTTGAAATATAAGGAGGGAAGCTTGATGTACTTTAGATATACTGTGAACTCTAATAATGTGGGAATATTTTTCAACTTTAATTTTCTGAAGTATAAATTATTTATGTAAATTCCTTGTTTTGCATATTTCATAGAACATGCATCTTTAAGCTTTATCATTGCCAACATGTACAGAAAGAGAATAAAAGTATAAGTTTATGAATGTAACTCCTCTCAAAGCTTGACTCTGTGTGTGAAAGGCTTTTAAGTTTCCTTCAGAAGCTGCCTGTGATGATGCCTGAAGGATGGGATGGGGCAGGGCCCGGGGACCTGCTCAACTCTGCTGCCAGCTTGCCCGGGGCCTTGTGAGCGTCTGTCAGGGTTTTCTGGGGCTTGACTTCACTGGTGACTACTGTGGGTGGGTGAACTGTGTGGGAACTATGCTTGAACCGACGGGGGTGGGGGGGTGGGGGGGGACCTACAAGGAAGGGTGAAGGGCAGAGGTCAGGACTATCTGCAGATCTGCTGCCCTGCAGCTCCAGGGGCCCCGACACTTCCTGTCCCCTGTCCTGTCACAGCCATAGCCACACTGCTTATTTGGCTTTTGAGCACTGAAATATGAAAATTTTCAGATAGTTAACTATGCTTTTGAACACAAAATCCTCCAGTGAAGATAACGGAGTGGAGCCTCACCCTCTGAAAGATTCGCTTGAACAGCTAAGGTGCCAGATCTTCCAAGCAGCTGGAGTAACCAGGAGGGGCTCAGGGCTCTTTCCCTTCTCCCCATTTTTGTTGACAAAGAATCACTTGGAAAACACAGTGTACTGAAATTTTAAAGACTTGCCCCTTATTGCCCCTTACTACCTCCAGATACTGCCCCCACACCCCCACACCCCTACACCCCGGTTAAAACAGAGAAGTACTGTCACTTGGTACATAAATCTGAAGCGACCAGCATCCTGCCTATCTACAGGAAGCCTTGAAGGACCAGGCCCAGCCTGCTGAGCAAGCCGGCTGCCAGCTCCCCTGTGGTTGGGGAGCATGTCTCGCTGGTGCTGAAGCAAGGTGGCGGTGAAGTCGGGGAGAATTGCCACTGACAGCCGTGTGTGGAGCGTGACACTCCGTGGCAATCCGGCAAGATTAAAGCCGCACAACAACCATACTCTTTCCCGGGGGCTGTGGGGACCTCAATGCTCACTGAAGCGTGGCCACCATCATGTCCCTGTCTCTCTACAGTCGGGACACCGTGGTCAGATCTGGGACACAGGAGCCCTCGGGATCTGAGTCGTGTGACTTCGGTGACTAGAGAGGGTACAGCCAGCAGCAACTCCAGTTGTCTTTTCTACCTAGTGACCCAGAACTGCCCCCGAGGAAGTAAAGTTGTCCTCCCCCACTGAAATGTGAGCCCAAGTTTCTGGAGGGCGAGAGGAGACCCCCCCCCCATCCACCAGAATGCGGTAGCCCTCAAACAGCTAGACATCTCCCCTTGGTGAGGAGGCCCCATCAAGCCCCCTCCAGCGCCCCCTGGAGGTGGCATGCAGTGGCAGGGCATCCCCCGGGGATCCTGGATCCTCATTGGACCCCCCTACTGCCCTGCCTGAGTATGTGTGAGGAAGGAGCACCCTGGAGTGTGAGCAGGACGGAACTTGAATGAAGCCCCGGGTCAGGCTCAGAGCCCATGCAGCACCAGGTACGCCAGGGAGATGATAAAGCTGTCTTGCGGCAGCTAGTGTTTCAGGGAAACGGAACCAACATACACACACACACACACACACACACACACACACACACACACACACACACAC